GGGGTCCCAACCCCCAGGTTGAGAAATGTGGACTTAAGGTGACGTAGAGATGATGTTACATATGTAGAAGCATGTTTATTTGTTTGCCTGCATTTAAAGATGTATAAAAGGAAAGTCAATGCCTTTATCCTTGCTCTGGTTTGCTTTTGGACACAATTCCACACCAGAGTCTCCGCTGAAAATAAACATACTTTTCTGCCTCCAAACAAAGGATCGCTCTTGGTATTCTCTCTCCTATCTGCTGCTACAGTATTATTGAATCTGGCATTAAAGAAACCTGGGTGTGTGTTTCTTGTTAATGGCTCTTGTATTAAAGAAAAGTGTAGAATATGTGCTCAGTAGCTCAGAGAATCCACACAGTCTGAACGGCATGATCAAGGTGGTTACAAAGTTGTGTAAAACAAGAGCAAAACATGTTGTAAGAACGAACACAATCTGGATTGAACGGGAAGCTTCTCCGTGTAAGGCATTCAAAACCTCCCCTCCCCACAAAAAGCCAACATGAAATACAGGACTGTAAATTAAAATAGAGCATTATAAATAGGATTTATTATATTGTACAGATCAGATAGCCAAAGAAGCAGTTCCTTTCAAGAGAGCCAGAGAGCAAACATGATGGGAACTTGAGCTCAGATTTCTTGCTGACAATCTGAAGTTTGACTGGTGAGAAGTACTGCTAGAAGTACAGTTACATCAGATATACAAGAGCATGTGGCATTTTTTTTCAGTTCTGTAGCCTAGTTCATGGATTCTCAATAGTTTTAAAACTTTCAAGTAAACAGTAAGCATATGGTGTGTACGTGTATTTGTTTTGTTTCCTTTGAACATATACAATGGTCACCACCTACTTCCGTGAGTGAGTGTTAAAGTAAGGATATGAAACTCCTTTGTCTTTCCAATTCAAGAACAGAAGGAAACACTTTTATTTGGGATCAATCCAGTCAATTGATTCTGAGAGATAAAATTTAAGCAGGTACCTAACTTTTAAAAGATTTTTAAAGGTATATAGTTCTGGTAAGGCGGCATCGAACATGTGCTAGAAAAGAAATGTGACTGTGACTTGCATTTAGTTTTTGCTGCACGTTGTCGAGTCTGAAGAAGCATCTCCAGACAAATACACAGGGTTTGGATGAATGTATGCCTCTCCCTTTAAAGGAGACTTGTGACAAGAAGTGGAAACACATGCCACTTGTACATATGGTCTTTTAGTGCATATATATTAGGTGCTAAAGCACTTTCTCTGTGGCATTCAATGTTGACCCAGGCAGGCAAAGAACATTAGAAGAGGATAACGTGACACTGTTCCCACCCACCGACAAGCTAATCTTATATTCATACAATGACAAAAACAAAAACAACAACAAAAAAAAAAGAATCCCAATTCATATACAAGCTTCTTTATACTCCTTTTTCCTTCTAAATAAAAAATGCAAAGAAAATGAATACAATTCAGTAGCAATGTTGTCCAATAAGCATGTGCATTTGGGCCAAAAGGCATGCCGTTTTCAGGTCTGTTTTGTCTGTTTATTTTGTTCATTGGAAAGTTACTCAAAAGGGGAAGGGTGTTGCTGTTTCATTCGGCAGAGATTTGGCCCATTGGCTACAAGGGGAAACTTTAAAGGCTCAATCCTCAGCCATTTAAGGCCTAACTGCATGAAACCTACCTCAGCTTTAGCCCCCACTTACAACTGCAGGCCTGCCAAGTTTCAAAACAATTCAACAAACTATTGAATTTTTAGAATTTTTCAAAGTTTTAACCATAACATTTTTTAAAAATAAGACATATTGCAAGAGAGGGTTCCGGGAATTGTAGTTACTGGTTGTGTCTATTCTCAGCGAATCAGAGCATGGACACCACCTGGCTTTTATTGGCTGGGAGACACAGAGAGAGAAAAATTGCTTTAGGTTGTGTATTGTTATGTTGTGTTTTGAGCCCTTGGCCTTTGTAAGCCGCATCAAGTCCTTCGGGAGATGCTAGTGGGGTACAAATAAAGTTAATAATAATAATAATAACTTCAACTCTCATCATGCTCCGAGAGGAAAATTTCAATGGCCACCCTATGCTAGTGCCATTGGAAAAACGAGTTCTCAGGGTAACTTTCCAAGAAAAAAAGGAGGAGACTTCTGCCAGGGAGAGAAAAGGACACCACAGATCTCCCTACCTCAGGTATTTGTGGACTTAACTCTTTCTGAAAATATTGGCTCTCTGAATCCGTTTCGCTCAGCTTTTCATCTTTCTCTTCCCCTTTCTGTTTTTGGAAATTGAATGAAAACGGCCCTCTGAAAACTACAAATCTTTTTTGTTAACAGTGAGTCTACTGTCCAATATACCCCACTGCATGGAATGTAATTGGCATTTTTTTCCCCTTCTATTCGATAGAGTTGTCCACAAAGTTCAGTGTGGCCTGTTCCCACTAATTTTTGCAGCAAGTGTCAATGCTATGACATGAAAATGTACATTCTTTCACATATTATTGCCCGAAAGATGACACCGTGGAACACATTAATGCAACTGCAATAGACATTGTACACATTGTAACTATGAGATAAATAAATACCAAGGAAGAATGAAAACATTACATCTTATATGGCAGCAAACAATAAATGAAGTCATTTTTCTCAAATTGTCTAAAAAGGCCAAGTAGCAGCAGTTCTTTTAATTTGTCATAGCCATTGTTAAAAGTTTAGGTTCTTAACAGTTTTTATAAATATTCAATGCAAGGCATTTGGTGTAAGGAAAAAAAACCTATGTGAACTGTGTCTATGCAGGACTTCTTAAAAACACTATGAAGAATAATATAAAATAATATTTCTTTGAAATGTTTACATACGAGCTAGCTGGTAAGAAAATGAGAGAGACTGAGAAGAGAGGCTATAAATGCATACATATGGACAGGATGAAAGGAGCTGGATACTCTCTTTCAGGACCAATTCATATACACTCAACACAATCCTATATTTACTTGGTGCTGTGTTAACATTGTTTTCAACGAAGCATACATACTACTTTTCCTAGTCTGTGCCTTTAAGACTATGGCTGGAGATTTCTATCATGGAGAAGAGAGAAGACACCTCCTCCGACCTCAAGGCATAACAGGTGAGGTTGGTGTTTCATGCAGGAGCCTGTATGTATGCAAACTTGGCTTACATTGTCCGCACTACTCTATGTGTGTGAATCATAATGGGAATTATCCCTCTGCATATATTTTGTACTTGGCATGGAGCTCTTCTGTTTCATCTTACATTAAATATGTGAGCGTTGAAAGGATGGACAGCTGTTCTGCCATCTCACCAACACCTGGCTAATGTGTGAACCAAGCCACAAGTCAGTAACACCTATTATCTATATCTATCTATCAATCTATTTATCTATCCATCTAGCCATCCTTCATAATGACATTGGATCAGACCCAGATTACATTGTATCTAGAGTCAATGCATTGAAATAGCCAGGACTTTGTATTATTGAAGGCTTTCATGGCCGGAATCACTGGGTTGTTGTGAGTTTTTTCGGGCTATATGGCCATGGTCTAGAGGCATTCTCTCCTGACATTTTGCCTGCATCTATGGCAAGCATCCTCAGAGGTAGTGAGGCAGTGACCTCACTACCTCTGAGGATGCTTGCCATAGATGCAGGCGAAACATCAGGAGAGAATGCCTATAGACCATGGACATATAGCCCGAAAAAAACCTACAACAACTCAACCAGGACTTTAATTAGCCATTACTAAGTTCTCAGCAATTTCACAATGACCCCATCTACACTTCCCTATGATTTCTGAATCTAGATTATCTGCTTTGAACTGAATTAAATGGCAGTACAAAGTTCCCTCACTTATTGCTGGGGTTAGGTTCCAGGACCTTCCGCAATAAGTGAAAAACCGTGATGTAGGGATGCTCTATTTATTTTAATATTTATACATTATTTTGTGGTGCAGTGGGTTAAAGCGCTGAGCTGCTGAGCTTGTTGACTGAAAGGTCACAGGTTCAATTCCGGGGAGCAGTGTGAGTTTCTGCTGTCAGCCCCAGCTTCTGCCAACCTAGCAGTTTGAAAACATGCAAATGTGAGTAGATCAATAGGTACCGCTCCAGTGGGAAGGTAACGGCATTCCATGTAGTCATGGTGGCCACATGACCTCGGAGATGTTGCACACAACTGGACTTAATGTCAGTGGAAAACCTTTACCTTTACCTTACATTATTTTAAGTCTTTATAAACTTAAAATAAAGTGAAGGAAAGGAAGGAAAGGAAAAGCCCTTCAAGGCTGGAGGGAGGGAGGACTGAGGAGGTAAAGCACCTTGGAGAGCGGCGGTGGCAAAACCCTACAAAACAGCGAAAATACCATGATATATATTTTAAATTAATATTTTTTTAAATCCGTGAAATAATGAGTCCGCAATAAGCGAACCGCGAAGTAGCGAGGGAACACTGTATAGACACATATATAATGTTCCCTCGCTACTTCGCGGTTCGCTTTTCGCGGACTCGCTGTTTTGCGGGTTTTTCTCTCCTCAGTCTTCCCTCCAGCCTTGAAGGGCCTTCCCATGATGGAACTGTAGAGGAGAGTCTACTGAACAAGCCAGTACCTGCCGCATACCAGTACTGCCATCTGTTGAGGAGTTACCAAAGTGGAGGCATTACTCCTTCCTTTCCTTTGCTCTCTCTGTCTTCACCCAGTGCTTCCTTTCCTTCCTTTTTTCCTTCCCTGACAGCCATTGCACTGACAAGGAGGCGGATGGGGGGAGGAGGAGGAGGAGGAGGAGGAGAGTAAGGTGACAAAGGCATATCCGAGCGGGGAAGGAGGAGGGGAAAGAGGAGGAGGAGGGGGGAGGTGGAGCCAGGCGCATGAGGAGGGGCCCGTGGGAAGTGTGGTATTCAAGGGGAGGGAGGGAGAAAGGGAGGGGGAAAGAGGAAAGAAAAGCCGAAGTGGTTTTTCACTTATCGTGGGTGGTCCTGACACATAGCATCCGCGATAAGTGAGGGAACACTAGTGAGAGACAAGGGAGAGAGAGGTGTGGGTGGAGCGTTCCTACTTCGTGGATTTTCACTTATCACGGGTGGTCCTGGCACGTAACACCCACAATAAGTGAGGGAACACTGTAGTGAGAGACAAGGGAGGAGGGAGGGAGAGGTGTGGGCGGAGCGTTCCTACTTTGTGGATTATCACTTATCGTGGGTGGTCCTGACATGTAACTCCCGCGAAAAGTGAGGGAACACTGTAATCCAGTTTAAAGCAGATAATTTGGATTCAGAAACTGGATTATAGGGCAGTGTAGACAAGACCTCAGCCTAAGTCTGCCTCTAGATCCAAACCAATGCCTTTCTTACACAATACCTCAAAACAACAACTTCTCATTGTGCGGTGCATGAGACAACAGAGATTATTGAGAAATGCAGGGAGTATAAAGAACTTTATCTTTGTCTTTCAAAACGTATATGCGTAAAAATTATTGCTCCTTTCTTTCAGTAGGCAAAAAGGAATGGGGAAAGGGATAGCGCATATTCTCAACATAAATAAATTAAAAGCATGAATCTATAAAGGACAAAAGTATTGATAAGCAACAAAAAATAAAAGGAGATCAAAAGAAAATGAAAGTTGTATCATAGTTACCCACCATTCCCATAAAGTGATGGTTGACACCACTTCCTTTGTCTTGGCAAAAACTACATTATAGAGCAACTACAACAGCATGTTCTAAAGTCTCTCTTTGTCTTGTCTTGTCATTTCTTTCCTTTCCATTCTGAATGTTCTTGCCCTGAATACCTTTCAGTAGGGCAGCTTGAAATGTTCAGCGCCACTTCGAAAACCCCTCTGGAGATCGGACGATAACATTCTTCAGCAATCAGGGAGAGAGGACAAAGGGCTTTCTCGTGCTATTCCCATATTTCCATGTTTGCTGGCTTAACATCATTGTATACGACTTCAGTACTTAACAGCTGATGCGAAGACGTTCAGAGCTGGCAAACAGAGAAACAGCATGAGAAAAGCCCCTGCCTTTAGCATCACATCTCCCTCCCTAGCTTGGCACTACCTGCCAAATACCACTTAGCTGAACACTGTCGGGGAAATGGGGGCAGGCTCGGGTACTCAGTTTGTAAAGGGCTAAACAATAATTTGAATAGGAAGGACAATTCGGTTTTTAAAGGACTAAACACTAATTTGGATAGAAAGGACAAATCAGGCCAAGCTCTTATAAAGCAAAAGGCAGAGGGAAAACTATGCTTACAAACTGCCCTACTACGAGACTTGAATGAAAAGTAATGCCTCCACTTTTGTAACTCCTCAACAGATGGCAGTACTGCTATACGGCAGGCACTGGCTTGTTAAGTAGACTCTCCTCTACAGTTCCATTTCAGCAAGAAGTCTTAGAATTGGATAGTTGTGTTGTTAAAGTGCGAAGTATAGAACCCTGCGCAGACTTAAGGAACGTGCAGTCATTGAATTCTTGAGAGCAGAAGGTGTCACCCTAAAGGAGATTCTTCAGAGAATGCAAGCTGTTTATGATGATTGTGTTGATGTGAGTGCTGTGTGTCGTTGGGTGAATAAGTTTAAAGATGTTGAGGTGACATCTTCTGCTGTCAAGAATTCAATGACTGCATGTTGCTTAAGTCACATTGACTGACTGTCTGCGCAGGGTTCCATACTTCACACTTTAACAAAACAACCATTCAATGCTACAGCTTCCCACCAAAATGGAACTGTAGAGTCAAGGCTACTGAACAAGCCAGTACCTGCTGCATACCAGTACTGCCTTCTGTTGAAGAGTTACGAAGGTGGAGGCATTACTTTTCATTCAACCCTCGTAACATACATCAGAATATATATCTAGAGCTTAACTTTGCATGTTTACTTAAAAACTACAATATAGATTCATAGTGTATATATGTTCTAATAGGAAAAAAAACATTACCTAGGATTAATACAACTATTAGGTTTTCCCAGAATAGATATGTCAGACTCCAGTTTTTAGAAATGTCATTTTCACTTCATTATAAAGTTTTTCATGCAACCAAATGACCTGATCCTGGTCCTTGGCACTCTAGCTGGGAAAGTAAATAAGAACGAATAGTACAGTTCCATTATGCAATCGGAGGCCACAAGGGGGTGCTAGAAAGAAAAGGATAGTCCATTTTACAGGGGAGAGTTGAAAGAGGAAAAGCATTTTCCCCATTTTCGCTCGTTTTGTCCCCTTTCCACTTCCCATATCATAAATAAGGATTTTTTTTAATTCCATAATGGGCACATAGGTAAAAATTAAAGGTTTTCTCCTGACAGTAAGTCCAATTGTGTCCGACTCTGGGGGTTGGTGCTCATCTCCATTTCTAAGCCAAAGAGCTTGGGGGTGTCTGTAGACACCCCCTAGGTCATTCAGCCAGCATGACTGCATGGAATGCATTCACCTGCCCACTGGAGAGGTACTTATTGATCTACTCAAATTTTCATGTTTTAGAACTGCTAGGTTGGCAGAAGCTGGGGCTGACAGTGGAAGTTCATGCCACTCCCTGGATTTGAACCTGAGTTTAGCAGCTCAGTGGTTTAACCCACTGTGCCACCAGGGCACATGAGTGGGGGGAATCACAGGAAAACAGGGGAAAATGCTTTTACTCTTTCAACCCAACGTCTACCCACATAAAATGGACTACCCTTCTCTCTCTAGCACCTCCTAGTGGCCTCCGCTTGGATAATGGAACAGTACCGAATGAACTTATTTGTTCTTTCTAGCAATTTCTTTGTTTTGTATAGGCAATCTGGCTACAAAGCCACAGAGCAACTATCATTTTGAGAATTGCTTTAGACTTATTATTACTGCAATTGAGCCATGCTGTAAATAGTACAGAGACAACTCAGTTTGGGAAAAGCTGGGATAGGGAGAAAGACAAGGAGCTTGAAACAAAACAAAATGCTTCCAGGTTTAAGTGGCATGAATGGAAAATATAAGCAAACAGAAAATAATGCACATTTTTTTTACAAATTAGCAATAGAAATAAGGCACAAAGCTGAAAATAAGTCCCACAAAGCCTGTGTCTCTTCCTGCATCGAATATACTACAGAGAATCAGTGGAAAAACTAGGTCTTTAAGGATGGGAATCACATGGCTGTCTAGACGTGAGCCCACTTGAAATATGGTGCAATGCAGCTGAGTCTGTCTTCTTATAATTCAACCACTTTATTCTGGACTATGGACCATTTCCACACTAGATACCTATAGCACTATGATTCCACTTTAATTGCCATGGCAACATCCAATGGAATCCTGGGACTTGCAACTTAGAAAAGGGTGTAGAAGGTAATGCATGGTAAATTGTGTTGAAGGCTTTCCTGGCCAGAATCACTGGGTTGCTGTGCGTTTTCCAGGCTGTATGGCCATGTTCCAGAAGCCAAAGTGGTTTCCCTGGTAAACCACTTTGGTGTGTCTTTTATCATGAAAACTCTATGATGAGAAAGTCTAAAAGAAAACAACAGGTAGTAGTAGGAAGGTGGAAGGAATGTTGTTGACCACTGCAGAGGTCAATGACAAGAAGCAGAGTGGTTAATGATGCAACTAGGCTGAAGCTGAAAGATGTTCAGCTGCTGCTCTGCTCAGAAGTGAAAGAAAAGTCGGAAGCTGCACAATACATATTATAGGAACATGGAAACTGAGTGGCATGAATAAGGGGAAGCTATACATAAAAAAGCAAAAAAAAAAAAAGAGGACTATATAAGCATTGCAATATTTGAGATGAGGAGGTGTCAGGATCCTATTCTTATGCCCTGTCTTACTTGCTCCCTCTGTTCTGCCGTATGTATAACCACATACAGCTACTTTGTATATCCAAATACGCTTCCTGCATTACACCGTACCACAATATATCACCTACCCAGTTATATGCTTATAATGTGCAATATTACGATCATATATTAGACATCACATGCTTTAATGCTTATATATGAAAGCGCTTTATAGAAAATAATGCATGGTAGCAGGCTGGTATGCCCAAAATCTCATTAGTCAGGAATGTTTAGTCTGAGTTATGGGATTTGTTATGAGGCTGTACCAACTTGCAACTAAGCAATTATTTTGTATCAAGTAGTTTCCTTTCTTGTTTATATATATATATATATATATATATATATATATATATATATATATATATCCTAGGTTTAATTTGAAATGCAAGTTAAAATACAAGTTTACAGGATTAAGAGGCATTTTGATAATAAAAATAGAAACTCTCTATACTCCCATCCCTTAAAAGAAAGACTTTATCTGCCATCACTAAAGGCTTTCGTAAATAAAAAGAAAGGGGTCATGGTAGCGCAGTGGTTAAAGCCACTAGCTGCAGAAAAGGCTGCTGATCAGAGAGTCAAAGTTCAAAGTTATGCATCGGCATGAGCTCCCATTTGTTAGTCCTGGCTTCTGTCAACCTAGCAGTTCGAAAGCATGCAATGCAAGTAGATGAATAGGTACCGCCTCGGCAGGAAGGTTAAATGAGGGCAGAAAGAGCGGAGATGTCTATGTACAGCGAGGCTCCTTTGGCATGGAAAATGGAACAAGAGCACCTCCCTGTGGCCGCAAATTGAGCATTGCCTCCAGACGCCAGAGATGGAAAAAGGGAAAAGTCTGTACGCTTGACTGTGTTGTATGCCATTGTTTACTGTGCGTGTAAAAAGGCTCTGAATGTTTGCCTTATATGTGTATTGTAATCCACTCTAAGTCCCTCCTGAGAGATAAAGCGGAACATAAATAAAGTGTATTAGATGGCATTTAAAAGAGAGCAGAGGGGGGACTCAACCAGAACTCTCTCATACAATCTAACAGTAAATAGCAAAGTAGTTTCTTGCTCATTTTTAGTACGTGAAATCAGAACACCAAAAAAAAAAAAAGTTAACCATTTTGTATACTGGCAGAATTCCCTATACATATAGTTTACAAATGTATAAATAAGAAAAACAAAAAAATGTTTTATTGAGCTTAAACATCAAGAACATAAGAATTTTCAGGCTGAATGGAACAAAAGATAGAAGACAGAAATGAGGAAGATGAAAGAATAGCCCTACTCCTGTCTCTAACTGCTATAGTAAACACTGCTGCAATTATGGCTAGGGGAAAGCTTAGGGTTGGGAAGATTAGGGTTTCAAATACTACCTTTTTTGCTTCCCAGATCCTTCTCTTCCACTACTTGCTTTATAGAGGAAAAGCATGCCCAGCCCTGAACTTCTGCTCCTTGACAGCATTGGAAAGTAAGTCAGGTTCACTACTTGTTTATCTAGCAGTTATTCTAACAATATGTGCCTTTAATACCTAGTATGTACCTATTTCTCCTACTCAAAAATAAGTATGTGAGGCGTAAGACCAGTTCCCATGAATTTGGAGGGGGGGGGGGGTTGGGGTTTTTTAACCCTGCTTTTGTCCTCATCAAGATCAGGAGAAGGAAGCTTCGGAGGAATATATATATATATATATATATATATATATATATATATATATACACACACACCACATGATCTATCTCAATCAACCATGTGCATTCAGTGAAAACCTTGCTTTGTTTCCTGTCCTGGCTTTTGTTGGCATCCCTGATCCATTTTTCGTAAGCCTCCTGAAATTGTGTTCTTCTTATCTGGTACCTCTTGTTTCTACTCTAGAGTAAAGGACGCTCAGCTGTAGGCACTGGCAGGCATGTTTTCTGGGCCTGCCTGCATGCTCCGCTATATACACATTTTTCTTGGAATATATATATCAACCATGTGATCTATCTCAATCAACCATGTGCATTCAGTGAAAACCTTGCTTTGTTTCATGTGCTGGCTTTTGTTGGCTATTGTTGGCATTAGGCTTGGGCGGTTTCGTTCGTTAATTTCATAATTCGTTATTAATTCGTATTTTAATTAGCTTACGATCCAATATTGAGCCATGCAGGAATAGTGTGAGGAGTAAATTAGATTCAAAACAATTTTTTCAATTTATTTTGTAATTATTTTGTAATTATTTTGTAATTATTTTGTAATTATTTCGTAATTATTTTGTAATTATTTCGTAATTATTTTCGCATGTCTGGTGCAAGTTTTATAGTTGTTGTTTGTTTTATCACACCAACAGTCAACAACGGAGGGAGAGGGAAGCTTCAGAAGTTCCTCCTGTCCCATTTGGAGGTTTTTTTAGCATATTGCGCAATCGCGTCCGCCATTAATGAATCGATTCGCAACTATACGAAATTTCGTTTATTTCGAAATTTTTAACAGGAAAATTTCGGAATTATTAAAAAAAACGAAATGCAAGGGCCCCCTAAAAACAAAACGAGTTTAGAACCAAATTTTTCCGTGGTTACCCAAGCCTACATCCCTGATCCATTTTTCGTAAGCCTCCAGTGCGTGCATGGTGAGGTGTGTAGGCAGGCCAGAAGCACACCTGCAGCTAAGCTCTGGGCCTGCCTGCCTACATGCCCTGCCACATACGCAGTCTCAGAAAGAGTGGTGGGACGTGTGTTGTGGGGCATGCAGGTAGCCCCAGAGCTTGCCTGCAGGTGAGCTCCGGACTTGCTTACCTGCACTCCCCGCCACACACGCACTCTGTTTCCAAGATAAAGAATCATGTTCAGATGGTTGAGCAGATTTTTGTGTGGGGAGGGGTCTTCCTGTTTTGTGCTTCCGAAGAAATGGAAGACACAGAAGAAACTGTTGAATTTCATGCACATGTGTGTGTGTGTATTCCCTCATGGGCTATGACTGTTTATGGACAGCCCAGATCAAGGACCACAGCAGGGATAGATATCTTAGGAAAAGGATATATATATATATATATATATATATATATATATATATATATACTCACAAGGTAAAGTATAAAAGATACCATGTAGTTTGGATGTGACTTGGCAGCAGCTTTAGTGTTTTCTCCAGTAATAAATATAACCAAGCTGAGTTAGCCAGATAGCATGCAAAACTGTTTAAAATACGTTGTACTACACCTTATCTACTTAAAATAACACATCACTCACTGTCTTTCCTGTCATGTATCTCAAAGATACATGAGAGAGTGATCTGTGCTGTTTTTGAGTTATGAAACAGGCTCAACCACCCCATGGAAAAGTATAAAAAGGACTGTATTTTTTATAATCCTTCCCATTTAAACTGAATAGTAAGGGAGCTGTGGTGGGACAATGGGTTAAAACTATGTGCCGGCTGAACAGCTGACCTGAAGGTCGGCAGTTCCAATCCGTGAAATGGGATGAGCTCCCATCTATCAGCCTCAGCTTCCCATGCAAGGACATGACAGAAGCCTCCCACAGGATGGTAACACATCCAGGCGTCCCCGGAGCAACATCTCAATTCTATCACACCAGAAGCGACTTGCAGTATATTCTCAATTCACTTCTAACATGATTTTTTAAAAACTGCATAGTGTAATGTGGAGACATCTACAAAATAATACGTGGTATTCACAGATTTAATTTTCAGCTGGGACAAGTTGTTTAGATACAGCTTTTCAATAAAAGGGTAGAAATCGCCACCTTTGCTGTGATACAAAGAACATTTGCCTCTTTTGAAAGGAGTGAGATGGGATGAAAATGTTTTGCGTACTTCATTCCTCCAAAAACAGTGTCATGGTAGGCATTTCATTCCTAATATGGAAAACCTTGAACCATGTCCTAAGAATAATAACATATACAAGGCAGATATTTCCCTTGGAATTATCTTAATATGCTTAATAGAAATATGTAACCTAAGTCTTCCTCTTGCCAACCCTCACAACAATTAAATTGGAGCTCTGATGTTCAGCCGCTGTGCCTTAATGTTGCAACAAAGGGTGAGTCTACGACTATGCATCCCTCAAGGCTGGACAATATTTTCAGTATCTATGTTATTTTCCCCTTCTAACTTCAGTGTTGTTGATTGTATTTGGAACTGAGATAATATGTTTCAAGTCTGGAAAAAACAAGTGGTTGGGTAGCAGAAGGGGAGAGAAATCTGTTTCGACCGAATGGAGTCTGCAATCCCAGACTCCATTAGCATTAAGAACCACTTATCAGATCCTGTAAAGTCTTATTGCTTTCCACCTGGCCTACATTACTGAGATTCCTGAGCATAAGATGCTAGCTAGGGAGGGCATGCCTACAACCTTTATTTTTTTGTTTTGCAGGGATATCGTATGTAGAGCGAGAAGTGCCACACTGCCATCTGCAGACAAGAATTCCCCCCTAATACGTGCATTTAAGCAATCCAAAATTTCCTCATAGCTAAGAGTCACTCCGTTCTCATTTTCTTCCTTTTAGTGTTGATGAATCACAATACTGTTTACTTCTCAGTGCTCCAGCCATGCATGAACATTCAGTGGCTCAAAGAAAAATAAAACTCTAAAGGCAGTAGAAAGTAAAAGGAAGATAAAGCAAAAGGGAGTGAGAGAAGCAGAAAAATAGAGGTGCAAGGAGGAAAAAGAAATTTGGGATTACCTGTCTGGTGTGGATGGAGCCTGGAGTTTTGAATCCTCCTTGGCAGCTGCATTCAGAAACACTGTAAGGGTCCGAACTACTGGAGGAACACTTGGAGAGAGAGTCACAGCCCACCACAAAGGTGTTATCCAGAGGCAGTTCCTGAATGACGTGGTGCTTCTTGGGTGGCACGGGAGTCTCAGGTTTGATTTGAAACGTGGGCTGTGGAGAGGCAGACTTGTAGTGCTTTGCTAAATCTGGGCTGTCGGGCTTAAAGGTAGTTGGCGTGGTGGCCCAGTTATATTTTCCCATAGTCTGTTCTTCTAGCTCGACAGGAATGTCCAAAGTGCCATTGATGTGCTCGTGACCCGGGTCATCAGGTTTCGATTCTTCGATTGTCACAAAGTTGAGAAGAAGGCTTTTTGGAGAACGCTTCTTCTTCTTCTTCTTTTTCTTGATCTGGCGGTTTTCTTGATTCGGGGAGACCCACTCACCACTCTGTTTGCTTTTCTGGACAACTTTGTGCCGAGGAGTTTGGCGGCATCGCACCAGAGCGGTAACAAAGATCACCAATATTACGGTCATGGTGCCGGCAATTATGGCAATGATGATCTTGACATAATCATTGGTTTGTGGAGTGATCTCACCATCCCCAACATTTTGGCCAACTGGTGTTTCCATGTTTCGGCGCACTAACTCTTGGACATACGATCCATTGGTGACTGTTTCGTTCACAAATAAATGCACCAGTGCTATAGTATATAGTGACTCGGGTTGTCCTAAATCGTTGACTTTGATTACTAGTCTGTGCAAACCATGATCTGCTGATACGACTTTTTCTCTTAAGGAAACATTGCCGGTTAACTGATCAATTACAAACAATCCTCTTGAATTCCCGCCTATAATACTGTAGCGAAGCTCTGCATTCATTCCTGTGTCATTGTCAACAGCAAAAACCTTCGTGACAACAGAGCCAGGGCTGGTGGACATTGGAACCAAGTCATACGAGTAGTTGGATGACGGGATGACAAATACAGGCCTGTTGTCATTCACATCAACCACGTTGATGGTCACTTTGGCAGTCGATGAGCGTTGCAGCCTTCCTCCATCCACAGCTTTCACCTGAAAGGTGTAAGAGCCTTGCTGCTCCCTGTCAAAGGTTATATTGGGCCTTATGACACCAGTGAGGGGATCGATGATGAAATTATCTCTCCCATTCAAAATAGACAAAGTCACTGCTGCGTTCTCTCCAGAATCTGCATCTGTCACAGTGATGAGTCCAACAGTGCCATACATGGGTAGATTTTCTGGCACATAGAAATTATACTCATTGTGTGTGAAAGCGGGGCTATTATCATTTTGGTCCAAGACTGAAACTGTCACTGTAGCATTAGTCTGCAAAGGCGGCATGCCATTATCTTTAGCGAGCACTGTAAATGAATATCTATCCTGCTTTTCTCTGTCCAGCTTTCGTACTGCTGTCAGAATGCCGGTGCGACGGTCCAGGTTGAAAATGGGAGGCGCATCCAATCCCAGCATGTAGCTGATGTCGGCATTGCGGCCACTGTCTGCATCTGTAGCACTTATCTTGGTCAGCTGTGTGCCAGGGGCATTGTTCTCAGGGATGGAAAGTCCAATAATGGGCTGCGTGAACACCGGGGCATTGTCATTCTCATCCTTAATTTTAATGAGGAGCATGGCAGACTGGTTCAAAGGTGGTTTCCCCGAATCAGAAGCTACTATTTTAATAGCATATTCTCTTGTAGTCTCAAAGTCCAGAAATGTGGCTGTTTCCAGTAGAAACTGGTTATCGAACACAGGTTTTAATCTGAATGGCACATCGTGATCGGTGAAGCATGTCACTTTACCATTAAGGTCAGCATCCTTATCCATTACAGTAATCAGAGCAATTTTCGTATTGAGTGGTGCTTTCTCTGACAAAAGCACAGTCCCATTCACAGGATTTATAATGTACCTTGTGTCTATTGATGGGATGTTGTCATTAACATCGGTGACATTCACAGTCACTGTTGCCCTTGAGGGTGTTGAGCTGCCATCGCTTGCCAGCACGGTTAGCTTGTGCACCGAGGACTCTTCCCGGTCCAGCGGCTCCTTGATGGTGATGAGACCAGTGGTGTTATCAATGGCAAACAACCTTTTGGCGAGGTTGGAAATTTGGCTACTAAAATAGAAGTGGATTTGAGCATTTGATCCCAGGTCAGCATCAGTGGCATGAAGCTGAGAAACCGAGGTGCCCACAGGGGCATTTTCAGGGACGCTGACTTCAATATCATTATCCTTAAACACTGGCCGGTTGTCATTCACATCAGTGACCGTCACTTGGAGGATGGCAGTGCTGGATCGCGGAGGGTTCCCACCATCTTCCACTTTAATCTTCATCACGTAGGTGTCCTTCTGCTCCCTGTCGAGGATCTGCTGCACAATCAACTGGGGCCACTTGTCCCCCTCGGGTGTCTCAATTATATCAAGTCCAAATACATTTTGACCCTAAAAAAACATGAAAGAGAAAGAGGTTTGTGTTACTATTTAGATCTGTTAAGAGTCGGACAGACTTCTGAACAGCACCGATTCACATATACAGTATTCCCTCGCTACTTTGCAGTTCGCTTTTCGCGGACTCAATGTTTCGTGGGTTTTTGCCTCCTGGCAATGACGGAGTGTGGAAGGGGGTTTCATCTTCTCCCTCGGGAGAGAGGCATACAATCATAAAGAGAGAGTGAGAGGAAATACAAAGCAGTATGCAAATCACAGCCTTATAGCCCTTCCTTATAGCTAACAAAAAAAAAGTGTGGTGCCTTTAAATCTCACCTCACTTCTGCTTCACCCTTGAATTGTGATATATATCTATATATATAAAAATGCTCTGTGCATAATGAGTACCTTAAAAACTATGAATGAAATCACACCAAATTTGGCAACAAAACGTCTCACTACACAAGGAGTAACCATCACTCAAAAAATTATGATTTTGTCATTTGGGAGTTGTAGTTGCTGGGATTTATAGTTCACCTGCAATCAAAGAGCATTCTGAACGCCATCAACGATGGAATTGAACCACTCTTGGCACACAGAACTCCCATGACCAACAGAAAATACTGAAAGGGTTTGGTGGGCATTGGCCTTGAGTTTTGGAGTTGTAGTTCACCTACATCCAGAGAGCACTGTGGACTCAAACGATGAAAGATCTAGACCAAACTTGGCACGAATGCTCCATATGCTCAAATACAAACACAGATGGAGTTGGGGGGAAATAGACCTTGACATTTGGGAGTTGTAGTTACCGGGATTTATAGTTCCCCTGCAATCAAAGAGCATTTTGAACCCTAGCAATGATACAATTGGGCCAGACTTCCCACACAGAACCCCCATGACCAACAGAAAATACTGTTGTCTTTAGTAACCCTTCTGACGCCCCCTCATGACCCCCCAGGGGTCCTGACCCCCAGGTTGAGAAACACTGTTATATAGAGGATAGACTGGGCCACAGCAACACGTGGCAGGGCATGGCTAGTGTATGTATGTATGTGTATATATATATATATATATATATATATATATATATATATATATAAGCTGCACCCACCACGTGTTGCTGTGGCCAACCTTCCCTGCTTCTTTCTCTCTTTCCTTCCCTTTTTTCTTTCCTTCTTTCTTTCTTTCTTTCTTTTTTTCTTTCTTTCTTTTTCTTTCTTCTTTCTTCTTTCCTTCTTTCCTTCCTACTTCCTTCCTTCCTTCTTTTCTTCCTTCTTCTTCCTTCCTTCTTTCCTTCCTTCCTTCCTTCCTTCCTTCCTTCTTTCCTTCTCTTCCTTCCTTCTCTTCTCTTCCTCCTCCCCCTCCTTTCCCCTTCCTCTTTCTCCCATTCTTTCTTCTCTACATATTCTTGGACTGCAACTCCCAGCAGTCCTCCTGATCACTCTACCTATTTACCTATCTCTATCTAATCTAGCCATCTGGAGGATTGCTGGAAGTTGCAGTCCGGGAATAGGAAATTGGAAATATGCAGGGATTGGGATGCTCTCAAAGGAATTCAAGGAGAAGAAAGATTGCATCTTGGAAGCAGTGCATTTGGATCATCTTCCTCTCCTAAAGGGCCTGGTCTAGGGGATGCTGGGAGCTGTGGTCCAGAAGAGAGTGTGGATATGCTATTGTGTGTTTTAATTGCTGGGGAGTCTTTTTGTGCATGCGATGTAGTGTCTTTTTGCTTTTTTGGATTTTTAAGTCCCCTCCACTGTGTTTTTCAGTGTGTTTATGAGTGATGGTCACTCGTTGGCCTGAGAGGTGTACTGTGTCCAAATTTGGTGTCAATTTCTCCAGTTGTTTTTGAGTTATGTTAATCCCACAAACAAACATTACAGCAGTCCCTATTTCACGGATTTTCACATTTCGCTGGTGGCTCTGGAACACCCGCGATAAGTGAGGGAACACTGTATCTGTTTTTTTAAATTTTCTTTCAAGTTGATTAGTATGCAATACATCTATGCTTTGTTATGCAAAGAAACACAGTTCTAAAGATATGCCGACTTGGAGGTAAATGTCACTGAAAGCATTCGGTTTTAAGGTGACAATTCTTATACAAATACTGATTTCAAAACAAATGTCACTGAAATCACTTGGTTTTCCATGAGCTTAAACTTCATTAGGTCTCAACTTAAACCAAACAATGTTTTATGCTTTTCTCGTTAAACCAAGAATTATCAGGTTTTGCATGACCATAAATATCACAAAGGACTTAAGTAAGAACTCTTTTCACTCATGAGCCGCATTTAAGAGTGTGATAGAGAGTGGCAAAACACAGTAATGTCTGAGCTTGAACATGTTACATTTTGGTCCCTAACTTCCAGAATTCTCCACTGATTAGGACTTGCAAACCTATCAAAATTTCGAGGGTAAACAAATTAATTGAAATTATTTATTTACCACACTTTCATCCCGCTCTTTTCAGCCCAAAGGCGACTCAGGGCTGCGTACAGACTGGCAACAATTAGATGCCGAACACACATAAATACATTGTTTAAAACAGGTTAAATCACATAATGGAATTCATAAAAACAATTTAAAACTATTAAAATCAATGACTTCTGGGTTTAAATCCATGTCCATTTGCATCGTTAAGCCGTTCCATATTTGTTCACAATACTGAGTTTATCTGGTTACAACGAGGTTCCAAAAGCTTGCTCGAAGAGCCAGGTTTTTACTCTTTTCCTAAAGTTCAGGAGGGAGGGGGCCAATTGAATATCCCCAGGAAGGGATTCCACAGCCGAGGGGCCATCACTGAGAAGGCCCTGTTCCTCATCCTCGCCAAGCACACCTGTGAGACAGGTGGGATTGAGAGCAGGGTTTCCCCAGGTGATCTTAAATTCCTGGAAGGTTCATAAGGGGAGTTTTGAATGCAATTGTCCTGCTTCTTGGCAGGGGGTTGGACTGGATGGCCCATGAGGTCTCTTCCAACTCTAGGATTCTATGATGCCCTTGAAAGTGAGCCGATCTTGTGAACTGGCAATGTGTAGCTCCAATCAGTCAGATGGCTTGCATGTCTAGGGCCCTTGTGGTCTTTTCCCACTCTAGGATCAGACAATACAATATTACCTTGATGTGTGTCCTAAGTTGGCACAGAATGGCATTACTTTTCTCATCATTTACTGTACTGGAAACTAGATTGCCAGGATTGTGTTTATCATGGTTTCCCTATTGTGGATGATTCTTTTTCACGTTGTGTGACTTGCCACAGCTATAATGAACCGATCACAGCAAATTGAATCCGCAATGTCCTTTGTCAAGTGAGCAAAACTGGAGGTGGGGGTGGCGAATGCCATTTATCCCATGCAAAATCCTACGCCTTGCCGCCTTGGTTTATTGCATGCGTCAGAAATGGAAAAGTTACAAGCGAAATACATGGGATTATTACAAACTCCGGATCAGCATATCTGAGTATTTCTCATTTTATCATAATGCATTTCATGCATGCAGTGAATATTAGATTCCGAGCGTTAAAATAACACAACATTACATTTACACAATGAATAATAATAATCCTGCCCTTGTTACAGCAAAACAGATGCGTGGGCATGCAGAGAAGGATTCTATAAACATAGCTCACTCTACAGAGGAAGTGTGAGAAGGATGTTTTGATTGCATAGTGTGATATTTTTCCCCTCCCAACAAAAGCTATTATATGGGTGCCCAAGCCTGCAAATGTAGGAATCCCCCACTATTTTTTTTCTTTTAGGAAAAGAAGAGCGAGAGCGTGCAAACACATTCCCTGAGGAGGAAGGAGTGATTAACATTCATCAATAGCAATCTCTCTGAGTGATGGAAAACGGTGCTGACAGGCTCCAAAGGGAACTCTGCCAGCTCTGCTGTACCAGAAATGAGAAAGGGAATGATAATGCGGATGCGCAGTGGATGGAGGTGAAAACAGGCAACAGGAAACAAGAGGCCTCTCATTTTCCATTTGCTTTATAAGAATATGTGATGCACATCTGGAATGCGGAGCGCAGAGGTCTAATGCTTTAACATCCATAATGTGAAGATATGAACAGTGCAAGGTGAAAACTCTCAGCTCTACCTGAAATCAAACAGGTGATCTTGGACTCATCACTGAGCCTGGAACCCCAGGTTTCAGCGGTGACCAGGGGAGCATTCGCACAGCTAAAACTTGTGCGCCAGCTGTGCACGTACCTTGGGAAGTCTGACTTGGCCATGGTAGTCCATGCTCTAGTTACATCCCATATAGACTACTGCAACGCTCTCTACGTGGGGTTGCCTCTGAAGACTGCTCGGAAGCTTCAAATGGTCCAACGCTTGGCAGCCAGGTTGCTAACAGGAGCGGCACTCAGGGAGCATACAACTCCTCTGTTGCGCCAGCTCCACTGGCTGCCAATTTGCTACCGGGCACAATTCAAAGTGCTGGCTTTAGCCTTTAAAGCCCTAAACGGTTCTGGCCCGACCTATCTGTCCGAACGCATCTCCTCCTACGAACCAGTTAGGACATTAAGATCGTCTGGGGAGGCCCTGCTCTCGGTCCCACCGGCCTCACAAGCACGCCTGGCAGGGACGAGAGACAGGGCCTTCTCAGTAGTGGCCCCCCGGCTGTGGAACGCCCTTCCTACAGACATCAGATCGGCCCCCTCCTATCTGGCATTCTGGAAGAGAGTGAAGACCTGGCTCTTCAAACAGGCTTTCAACTAAGAAGTGCAATTGATTGACTATTGGAATATGGATTAATGGACAATGAGAGTGGATGCTGATTCTATTGATGAGACGTGATGGATTGTTATTTTGTTGTATTGTTGTATTGATGTTTTGATGCTAATTAATTGATATTGCTGTTTTAATTGACTAATGATCTGTTTTGTACTGTTGAATTGGTTGTTAACTGCTCTGAATCGCCTGAGGGCTGAGAAGAGCGGTATACAAGTGAAGTAAATAAATAAATAAATAAATAAACATTCTCTCATGCATGAGGCTCAAAACTCTTTGCTGTTGGGTTTTGTGCATTCTTTCAGTGGATAGAAGGCATGCTCTATGATAATCTCCAGCATAAACAAGCTTGTTTATAAAGCTGTTGTCCTCCCAACCCTGCTATACGCCTATGAAACGTGGACTGTCTACAGATGTCAACTCCTGGAGTTTGGAGGCAACTCAGTGTTGCCTCCAAAAAATCCTGTCTTTTTTGAAGACAGGTGGAAAAATGTCAGTGTGCTGGAAAAAGAAGCAAAGACCACCAGCACTGAAGTGATGCTCTTACGACATCAGCTCCACTGGACTGGCCACGTTGTCCAAATGCTCAATCACTATCTCCCAAAACAGTTATTCTATTCCTAACTCAAGAATGGGAAACATAATGTTGGTGGACAGGAAAAGAGATTTAAAGATGTGCTTAAAACCAACCTTAAAAACTGTGGAATAAACACTGAAAACTGGGAAGCCCTGGCCCTTGAGTACTCTAAGTGGAGGTCAGCTGTGACCAGCAGTGCTGTGGAATTCAAAGAGGCACGAATGGAGGGCGAGAGGGAGAAACGTGCCAAGAGGAAGGCACATCAAGTCAACCCTGTCCAGGACTGCCTTCCACCTGGAAGCCGATGCCTTCACTGCAGGAAAACATGAGGATCAAGAATAGGGCTCTACAGTCACCTGCGTACCCACCACCAAGACACTACACTTGGAGGATCATCATCCTCGGGCTACAAGGGATTGCCTAAGTAAGCAAGTAAGTAAGTAAGTAAGCATAAACCTAGCAAACTAAAAGCACATCCAGATAGAATGAAGGTCCCTTCCATACAGCCATATAACCCAGAATATCAAGGCAGAAAATCCCACAATATCTGCTTTGAACTGGAAGCAGTCAAAGACATTCCAGTTCAAAGCAGATAATGTGGGGATTTTATTCAGCTGTGTGGAAGGGGCCAAAGACTTTCAGTTCTAGTTCCTGGTTTTTCCCACTGTGTTAAAATAAATTGATCTGAGGAGTTGATCTAAAAACTCTTTGACCAGATCGGGATTTAACAGAAAATATTCCAGGATGGACAAAATCAAAATCAAATCAGAGAGAACAGGAATAAATCTGGGGTTTGATGGTCTTCATCACCATGGCTTCACTCTCAAAGGCTCAAAGAGAAAAAAGGGAGGCTTAATTTAGCGACCCAAGGTGGAACAGATCTTCCATGAAGGTGAATTCCATAATTCAGATGTGATCTCAAGAAATATCCCATTTCTTGCATCAGCGATCAGGATGTATCTGACTGCTCAGTCAAAAAACGATGATGCAAAAATTATTACTTCCTGATATGTTAAAACTGGGATAAGTGTGGCCTAGGGCCCTTCCACGCAGCCCTATAACCCAGAATATCAAGGCAGAAAATCCCACAATATCTGCTTTGAACTGGGTTATCTGAATCCACACTGGATCATCGTGCATCATACCTAGCAACACAAACATAACTTTCATATCTCAACTAACATCTTTTTCTGTGGAGATAGCTCATCAGTTCAAGCTGATGGCTGTAAAGGATCAAGTTGTCAAATGAGATCGGGTGATGGGGAAGCATGTGTCAATCAGCTGAAATTCTGGATGTCAAGTAGAACCAAAGCTTAAGACCATTTAGTGCTCTATGGTATGAAAGCAGCATATTTACACATTCTACATGTTATCTGCAGGATTGTTTGCTTATTTACCTGTTCATTTGTAATGGATCCAAAGGTCCTTTTTGGAGCTGTTTTGGGCTGTGATATAAATTAGAAAAAAGAAAGAAAGCAAGTAAGTATATTTAAGTGACATACATTGAATCATACTTTCCAAAAAAATAAAATCTTGGACAAAGACGTCATCTCAAATACCAAAACCATATCTATTTCATTCCTACAGTTGGGTTCAGGTATAACATAAGGTATAACATACTCAGTGTGTATCACTTGGGTTTAATAAGCATTTGAACTGGTGCTGGCAGAACAATTCAGAGTCTTGAAGAACAAAACAAAATCAGGCACAAATGTATGCAAGGCTTACAGCGGAGGTGCTCAGATGGACCATTTCTAAAGGAATTGGTTGTGACACTATTACATGCCTTTGTCCCTCAGCCCTTTCACATGCAAATCCCATCTCTTAGAGCCTGGCCAAACTTTATTTGAAAAGAGACCTGCTGTTAAGTATCATCTGAATATGCTCTATAATCTTCATAGCACAAGAAAAGAGATTCCACTCAAACGTTAGCCAGAACTTTAAAAAACTGGACCATTGTGCCTAAATAATAATAATAATAATAATAATAATAATAATAATAATAACAACAACTTTTTTTTGTACCCCACCTCCATCTCTGTGAAGGGACTCGAGGCGGCTTACATGGGGCCAAGCCCAGATAATAGAAATTAAAGCATAGCACATCAGAGTGCATCAACAGCAATTTAAAACAACATAAACAACATTATACAAAATATAAAACAGGATAAGGATGAAGGAGGAAAGAGAGAAGGAAGAAAAGATGAAATGGTGGAAGGGAAGGATGGAAGGAAGGGAAGGGAAGAAGTGAAAAAGAAGGAAAAAAGGAATGAAGAGAAGGATGGATGGAAGGAAGGAAGGAAGGAAGGAAGGAAGGAAGGAAGGAAGGAAGGAAGGAAGTGAAGGATAAAGAAAAGAGAGAAGGAAAGAAAGACAAAAAGGAAGGAAGGAAGGAAGGAAGGAAGGAAGGAAGGAAGGAAGGAGGAAAGAAAGAAGGAAGGAAGGATAAAAGGGTGGAAGAGAAGGATGGAAGGAGAAAGAGGAAGGGAAAGAGGAAGGAAAGGAAAGAGAGAAGGAGGGAAAGACAAAAGGTAGGGAAGGATGAAAGGGTTGAAGAGAAGGATAGAAGGATGGATGGATGGAAGGGAGGGAGGAAAGGAGAAAGGAAAGAGAGAAGGAAGGATGAAAGGGTGGAAGGGAAGGAGAAAGAGTGAGGGAAGGAAGAGGGAAAGAGAGGGAAGGAGGGAAGGATAGGATGGTGGGGGGAGGGGGAGCTTGAGAAAAGAGCCCAAGGTGCTGCATCCAACCCCCGAGCCTGGGTTTGCCCATACCTGTTTTAGGATCAACGTTAAAGCAGCTATCTAACAACAACAACAACAACAACAACAACAACAATAATAGTAATAATAATAATAATAATAATAATAATAATAATAATAATAATAAATAAACCTTTATTTGTACCCCACTACCATCTCCCGAAGGACTCGGTGCGGCTTACAAGAGGCCGAGCCCAAATACAAAAGTAAAAACAACAGCAACAACAAACAGCAAAATAACTCAGGAAACAAAGCAATGACATTAACAACACACAATGATGCAATTAAAATCAGTGGCAGGGCCAAATGTAATAATTAAAATTAAAAGTGCTGGGCATGACCAGGTGGAGTGTTTGGAGGGGGATGCAGATATCCTGGATCTCCGATAAAGTGTGCTGGGACATAAGGCTAGGAGTTTCCTTATTCTGGGAAGGCACACTGGAACAATCACATTTTCAAGCTCCTCCTAAAGATTGCCAGCGACGGTGCCTGCCTATCTAAAGTCTGTACTTATTTTGGGTATAAACTTCAGTACCTTGGATAGCTCCTTTCAAGTTACTTCACATTAAAATCTGGACCAGAATGGGCATCCTACTGACATGGAAGATGCAACTCTATGAAACAGTGGTATAGAGGCTATCCACCTAATCTGCAAACATGGATCTCAGACCCTGAAGGAAAGCAACTTCTGAGTAGTATTCACCTTTGCAGGCAAAGAGCCATTCTACTTCATTGTAAACTAATGAGAGCAATGCATTTATCAGTGGCATTCTGTTTCATGGCAGCTAACCTGGCTCAATTGGCACCAATAGTTAGGAACCTTTACCTTTAATTAAAAAAAAGATTTCTAGTCTCTGTATATTCCATTCAATATAAGGACAAAAGGGATGAGATGCAATTTGCAGACAGATGAATTAAGGAAGCCAATTCTTTCCTCCATCACACACTATTCAAACTGCCCAGAAACATTTGCACAAAAGACAGAGAACAGGAAACGGATTCCACGGATGAAGGACAGACTAAGATATTGGTTATGACGGTGCTTTACTTTAAATACACTAGTTTCTCTACAGCCTGAAGGAAGATTCCAGATACATCAACTGTCCCAGAAAATATATATACCTTTCCCCTCTATTTTACAATGATGCTATGATAAAAACGAAGTAAGAAGCACAATTGTTTTACTGGGCTAAGTGTACAAATCTCTTCGGTATAGGTCAGAAGCGCTGTAGGCAGGCTGAAATTCACCTGTGATTGTTGAATTTCTCTCTTCCTCAGGCCTCTCAGAACATGCTTGGGACTCATAAAGCCCATACAAAGAAGCATGGTGGTGGTGGGGGGGGGGGATGGTTTGCTTCCTGGTAGGTAGTGACCAGAATGTAAACTAGACAATACTGGACTCTGTGCCAAACCCAATTGTTAGACACAGCTAGAAAAGGGCCACTGAGTCAATGGGATGACTCTATTGATTTTCAGAAGGGGAAGGGTGAGAAGATTGTATTTAGACCTGAATGCCTGTTCAAGATTAAAATTTAGATAGGCTTCTTTGCGTGGCTACTCATTTACCTCCAGTAATAACCTGCTCTTTTCTCAATCTCGCTTGACCTTCTCTTGGTTCTGTACACATATACTTGAAATGTAATATCGGAATAGTCTGAGCATGCATTGCAGAGAGAACTTCCTGACTGTGAGAGCTGTTCAGCAGTGGAACTCTCTGCCCCAGAGCGTGGTGGAGGCTCCTTCTTTGGGGGCTTTTAAACAGAGACTGGATGGCCATCTATCGGGGGTGCTTTGAATGCAATTTTCCTGCTTCTTGGCAGGAAAATTGGACTGGATGGCCCATGAGGTCTTTTCCAACTCTATGATTCTATATAAACTCTAGAGACGTGTCCTACAACTTGATGTTTTTAAAAACAGTCACAATACACAAGAAGCATGACCAATAACACTGCAGGCAACTTAATGAAAATCTTGAGATTCAGATATGCAGAATCCTTCTCAATTGAAGAGCGACGCATCTAAATCAGTGGTCCCCAACCTTTTCTTGACCAGGGACCAGTTGACCAGAGGCTAGTTCACCAGGGACCACTCTCCAACATTAGTACCAAAAGAGTTAAAGGTAAAGGTAAAGGTTTTCTCCTGACATTAAGTCCAGTCGTATCTGACTCTGGGAGTTGGTGCTCATCTCCATTTCTAAGCCGAAGAGCCAGCATTCTCCGTAGACACCTCCAAGGTCATGTGGCCAGCATGACTGTATGGAGGATCATTATTCGTAACCAAAAGGATTACGAATCAGTTTTTGGTCAACTTGAGATTTGATTTGGTTATGAGATGCTGATTCTCAGAAACTGCATTGGATAGACCACATCAGTTCTAGTTTCTGATACAGAACATACCACTGGATACTTTTGACAACATCCTTCTTCAATTTTGCTACCCAGAATTGAGCACAGTATTCCAGGTGAGGTCTAACCAAAACAGAATATCAATCTAAATGCCATACTTCTATCGATGCAGCCAAGAATTGCATTGGCTTTTATAGCTGCTACACAGAATCATGCTGTTGACTGAGTCAGTATTATGAGGGATCAAAACAAGATAAAAATGGAAACGGTTTGCGATAAGATCTCCTGATGTTTCGTTTTAATTTAATTGTATCTATGAGTGGAGATTGGATTGTGCCTTTGGCTGTGGCATGAGCTATGCTTTTCCTCTGTGTCATTTCCTTGATACAGCTTTCCTCTTCTCCTTGAAGCTCTTATTAGCCCAAAAGGGTTACATATATCATTTTAATAAAATCAAATAAGATCCAATCATTCAGTTCTCCTGCATATATTCTGCTTTGTCCATAGATTTTGTTTAACACAATGAGTTAACAAAGCTTCTGACCTAACTGATCTAGATGGACCTAGAGTGTTTATCAACCTTCCTAATACAGTTCCTCATGTTGTTGCTATTTTTGTTGCTACGTCATAACTGTCATTTTGCTACTTGTTATGAATCGTCATGCAAATATCTGATATGCAGGATGTATTTTCATTCACTGGACCAAATTTGGCACAAATACCCTATATGCCCAAATTTGAATACTGGTGGGATTTTTTTTTTGGGGGGGGGGGTGTTGATATTGTCATTTTGGAGTTGTAGTCGCTGGGATTTATAGTTCACCTACAATCAAAGAGCATTCCAAACTCCACCAATGATGGAATGGAACCAAACTTGCCACACAGAACTCCCATGACCAACAGAAAATACTGGAAGGTTTTGATAGGAATTGACCCTGAGTTTTGGAGTTGTAGTTCACTTACATCCAGAAAGCACTTGGACTCAAACAATCATGGATCTGGGCCAAACTTGGCACGAATACTCAATGTGTCCAAATTTGAACACTGGTGGAGCTTGGGGAAAATAGACCTTGACATTTGGGAATTGTAGTTGCTGGGATTTATAGTTCACCTACAATCAAAGAGCATTCCGAACTCCACCAACGAGAAAATTGGGGCAAATTTCCCACACAGAACCCCCATGACCAACAGAAAATACTGTGCTTTCTTCTGGTCTTTGGCGACCCCTCTGACACCCCCTTGTGACCCCTCCAGTTTGAGAAACACTGACCTAGATCTATGTGTAATAGCAACCAGTAAAGCAGACATGTTCAGCATATCTCTCTGTATAAACCGAGAGAT